TTATTATTTTGTTTTTTTATTTACTTCTATTGTTAGCATAACTTTAGCTATTTATCATGGAGTCAGAATCGGAAGTAAAAAAGAAGAGGAATCGTAGTTGAGTCGTGAATTTTCATTGTCGATTCCGCAAGCCTGCTCTTATTTCTAGTCCTTTATTACGAAACCGAAGTTACCTCCATTCACAATCAGTGAACATGTTACAGTCAATCAGTACATATTTCATGTATCCAGCGAATTTAGGACGCGCACGCCTCTTTATCACGCGTGAAACTTAGAAAGCAGACTCCCATTTACGGTAGAAAAAGGAAGAGGCGAGGAAGGAAGAGAAAAATATTTTCTTCCTTATTTCATAATTCTTTGGAAATTATAAGCGGCGTGATAGAAAACAGTTTAAGACAAAAATGTACGAAGATGAAAATAAAATCATTTTTAATACACCTTATATTTGACAAAACTGTACTTAGATTGTGAGCTTTACTTTGTTCCAAAGTATATAAATCACGGAAAGAAAGAAATCGGGCTTTTTTTTTTACTAACTGCAAAAGTGTCGCATATTCCGTTACTTTCACGAATTTAGATTGTACCTATCCTCAGTTATACAAACCGACACCTACATGTATGTAATAATAGACATAATGGGTAGTGTTTATTTGGCGAATCGCCATGCCGCCGAAGTCTGCATTTTCGCAGCGGCCTCCAAGCTCGCTGGCCAATATTTACAAGTACACAATCAGCCGTGTACAAATCAAATAATTAATTGACAATGTTTACTCCGCTGAATTTCCGCGTTCAGGGAGTGACGATCTCGGGATTATTTATCGCGTCTCAAAACAAAAACGAAACTGTACGAACGGGCCCGCAACATCATCATCATCGTCTCCCGTTGTGTAACTCGTTTTTTACCTGCCGCGCGCATGCCAGATGAATTTCGTGCATTAAACGTAGAATGTGCAGCATTGTAACTGATATTCATGAACATGTAGTTTACAAAATGTATTTAGTGGCGATGATTCTATTTTAGCGATACTCAAAGAGAAAATGGTCAAATGATTATTTAAAGGATCTCTATTAGTATTTGAAAAAATAAAACATTAGGTATAGAATATAA